GATAGTTCACCGGGAAGCTGTCTCTTCCAATGGACTTTTATACCGTGAAACCTTTTGGGACTCAGGTAGAGAGAGGAGGGGAACTCGATTAGGTGTGAAGGAGGAGGGACAAAACTGTGGCCAACGAATGGGATTGGGAGCAACGTTGCTCAGGTATAACTGATTAAATCGATTATTAAATGGATCAATGAGTCACGTAGCAGGGAGGCATGAATATGGGACGGGTTCTGTTTCTGTTGTGGGTTGGGCTATTGACTCACTTGTGTTTTTCTAGAGGATGGATACCTCTTTAGGATATCAATCCCAGGTGCCAGTCTTTTAGCATTTCTTTGGCCTTTAGACCTTTAGGTTGTGGTTCACAGCAGGATCATCCGTCCCACCCAAGTTGGAAGGCATCTCCTCTTTTGTTCTGTCTCCCTGAAGGGCCCGGCCCTGTCTGCCTGACTACATTTGTAACTCCGCTGCCTGCAATACTAATGGAAACATTCGGTTTTTATTTCTGCAATTACAGATCAGCATACATTCATTGCACCCCACTATCGTCCTAGCACTCTGGAAGCTGACAGCAGAAGATCACTGTGAGTGTGACGCCTGCTTGAGCTACACAGCTAACTCACAATTTGAGTTAGCTTATGAAAAGCAGCGAATTTAGATAAAATATTATAGGCGGTCGGATAGAACCAGTTAACTAAGGAGACAGGGTAGAAGACAACGTGACTTGAAAATTAGAGACAGACAGTCCCATTGCTGCCAGACCCCAAGACCGAAAGCAAAAGGAGAAATCAATCCAGCTACCTAATTCCCTAGGGATGGAAATTCGGCATTGATTTTCTAAATAGGTATTCACATTACCTCGAAAAAGCCCAAATGACTAATTAATGCAAACCCCAGGGGAAAGAGACCTGAGCTTGTTTTGTGACTCCCTTCCCTAATTGGTCCTGAAAGTAATGAATTTCATCTGAGCAATGATGCTTGTCATCCCATTGGTTGACCATAGTTTCCCCCCCACTTATCCACCTAAGCGAGTTTCAAATTTCCCTACCTTAGCTCCCCCAGATTTTGCCCTATAAATATAAACTGAAAGAGAAAGTTTCGTAAACAACCTGCTTCGGTCCCTGTTCTATCCCTTCTAAGACGGAAGCTTCCTTTCGCAATAAATATTTTCCTCTCAAACTGCATTTTTTATAACAATTAATTCTTTGATTTTGGACAAAAAAACTCACCCCAGGACCTTTCTGGAGGAGAGTTCACTGTCCCTGTCTATCATTCGTGGCCTTCCGCGAAGATCAACCAACAGAGGTATGACTGTGCTTTTCTTTCATAAATTTAACACAGGGACCTCCTTTGTCACCAAATTTTTATGCTTCAGATGTTGATGTCTTGGCTCACTGTTCGTAATTCCTCATGCTTTGCCTCCTACGGTTTAGCCTCCTATAGTTCTTTTAGCATTGGTTAACATTAGTTTTGCTCTCTCTTACGTGGTTCGCCTAAGATGTTGTTCAAATCGTTGCGAAATGTAAGTTATGACATGGAAATGTTATAAGGTTCTGACATTTCTCTACTAGGACATTGTCTGAGTGTTTTGCAGTCCTAAAATTAGCATTTGAATTAGTTACACCTACTGTGATTCCTTCTTCGATTTCAAACAATAGAGTCAGAGAGTCAAGTTAGTAAGCCTCCTAGTGGACTTTATGTAAACTTCTGTAAAATGGGGCTTTTAGCCAGCTCAGACTTAGAAAATGATAAATGTTTCCCCTGTGAGCTTCAAGGTTCGATGTTGTGTAGTTGATTACAATGTTTACCTACAGGTTTGCGTCGGTCCCTGTAAGCGGGTGTATTCTACACAGCATGGGTTTAAAGATTGTCGAGACGAAGGCCTACTTTCAGGGATACCAATTGAAGTTCAGCAGATGACGAGCAGGCAAAAGACTAATATTGTAGGCAAAATAAGTAAAGCACACCTAAATAGAGCATGATAGTTCCTGTAACTCAGAGAGATATCATCTGTCACATTGCTTATACCCGTAGTAAAGGGGACATGACAGTCTGTGCGGTATATGCCCATGAACTGTGAAAAAATGATGTGAAATTTTGCATAGCAAATCACGCTGCAGCTTCAGCATATTGTACTGTCCTGCTGCTGGTCCACAGAAATCTGAATAGGTTTGGCATGGATAAGATCTACGAGGGCCAGGAAGAGGTGACTGGAGATGAATACAGTGTGGACATCTTGTGCCAATTTCGATCTCTCTCTACAAGGAATCCTTGGGGGGGGGGCTGCCCCTTACCTCAGTTCTTTAAGTGGCTGCTTCAACAAAGCAGTCAGGGTCAGGTTGCTGGGGTTCTATCTCCACAACTCAAGGCAGACAATCATACCACGAAGGCATTTCTAGCCCAAAAAAAAAAAGGAAAAAAAAAAATTACCTGCTGCAGTTTTGGGCCAGGGAGATTGCTCAGTAGGTTAAGTGCTTCCCTGGCAAGCAAAAGGTCCCGAGTTCAATCCCTGCTTCCCCCTAAAAAATAAATAAATAAATAAGCCCTCATAAAGACAATGTTATCGGTTAACTGCACCAAACGCAGAACATGAATTAGCTTGCAAGCCTCGTGAACGTCTGCCGCAGGCCTTCACAGGAAGGTGGAGGATGTGCTCTCAGATTCATTGTTTGAGGTCTCGGGAGACAGCTGGATGTTGTGTACAGTTGGGTTGGATTCTGGTCGCAGTAGGGCTCTCATGATCGTAATACCTCCTGATTTTCCATGGAAACGAAAGCGTCAACTTGCCCCTGATGTAAAGTCATGCCAGAGCATCCAAAACACCTGCCTGTAGCTCACCCCCACCCATACTCAGAAACTTTAAAGTCTCTGTAGCAAAGTTTTGACTCTGTTCACCCTTTTCTTTGATTATTTGAGGTTTCACTTCAAATCATGTGTTCAATTGTCTTTTCATTATGGGGATCATAAGGCATTCCTGTACCATATTCCACCTTCCAATTATCAAGAAAACTCTTAAAAATTTAAAAAATGTAAACAGATCTAACATCAGGTGGTCATGTAACAATAACTTAGGACACGCTGATGTGGGCCACAGGTGAGCATGTATCTATGACGCCATGTATGTAGTGCAGTATATTAAGAGAGCATATATGTGTATTAACCATCTGCCATGACCAATCTTTTCTCACAGAATTTGGATGGCGGCTTTGTTTAGTAATTGTCCCAGGAATGAGCTGAAAAGCAGAACTTGCAATCATGCTTTGTCTAGCTTGTGCTGTGATCTTTTTACATTCCTTTGGCAAAGGGTTAGAATTTTTAGAAACCGAATTTTTGTTTGTTCTCGTTTTATGAAAAACGAAAATCAGATCTACAGTAGCATCTGTATCATTTATAACTGACGACAACACACATAGGTGATTAGGCCATGATCTAATAAGATGAAAGAATGCAACAGTGGTATTTAATAGAGCTCCTAGAAATATTTTTTTATTGATCAATACGTACGAATGAGACAGTTTCACTCGGGATGACCAGGGTGGGTCTCAGCCAAGAACCAAGCAAGGGTTACTCCCCTGTTGGTGTCCCAGGGCTTTAACACAGAAGTTAAATCAGTCCCTTCGTTTGGGGGAACCTGACTCTCATTACTCCTCCCGACAACCTGAGTAGATTATAGATTTCCATGGCATGAATTTGCAGAAATATTTCAGCAAACGCTGTCTGAATCACTCCACTTTTAGCAGGCAACGATGTCTCGGCTTTGCATGCTGTTTTCAAGTAACTGCTGCAGGTATCGGAATGAAGAAGAATCCGACGTCATCGTAGGCCTCCCGCGGACGGAAACACTCAACGGGAAGGCTCCGCAGAACGTAAGAGCACACGCACACACGAGGGTCGCTACGCGCGCTGCTCTGCGCGCTGTGCGGCGGTGTCGTCTCAAGAACGAGGCACCGTGGCCACACCAGGTGGCAGCCGTGCCTCCCTTGTCTGCACAATATTCCCCTAGGGAAGGCCAATTCTTGCAGAAGCTCCTACTTCTGCCACTGTCGGGCGCGATGGCACCGGACGCCATCTTCCCCTCAGCCCTGTGGCGGCGGGGGGGGGGGGGGGGGGGGGGAGGCTGTGTGTCCTAAAAGGTGGCGTCACTTGTCCGAGACTGTCATCACACAGTGACACAAGGGGAGGCTTCAAGAAAGAGCTGTAGTTGCTCACAATTGCAGAGGTCACACGCCAAGGGGCTTCCGAGCCGATTGCTCCTGAAACCGCCCTGGGCTATCCCGGTATCTGTGTGATTGAGGAAGACGGGGTTGCAATAAGTGAATCTCAGGGCTCCCCTAGACCTAACGTGAGGGAAAACAGCTGTGTGTCCTCAGAGAAAAAGGATCTGAGGGCGTTTAGCCCTTGCACTTTCTTCATCGTGTGGGGTGAGGCCGTTTCCCAGCAGCTTCCCATCTAGTCAAGAGCAGACCACCCTCCAGGTTCCTTAGGGGAAGTTCATGCTGTACTAGCTGTTGGTGACTCTCCATTCCAACAAGGGTTCCGCTGAGCTCACACTTGTCACCCCGCAGCTTTTCCTCACCTCTGCGATGGGGTTGTTTCTGGAGGACTTGGTGGAACAGTGCTCTGCATTGAAAGGCAGCTACTGGTGCTCCACAGATTAAAAAAAAAAAAAAAAAAAAAAAACCTAAGTAAAGATACCTTGCTGACTGGGAGATGGCTCAGTGGAATGCGTGTTTCCCTGGCAAGCAAAGGGGACTGAGTTCAATCCCTGGTTCCGCAAAAAATAAATAAATAAATAAATAAATAAATAAATAAAATAAAGATACCTTAATGACACCATTTTTTTAAACAATCTCTTGCCCTAACATTAGATATTTCCGGAGATGTTAGAGCCATTTTCACTCTTGAAACACTGCCCTCTATGTGCACAAACATAAGAGATGGCTCTTTCTTTTCTGAGCTCCAGACCCCAATCTCGTGGTGGTCCACGCGACTGCTCTGACTGTGTCTCTCTTTCTCTCCTCTAGCATGGAAATGAATCCACCCTGAGCCCAGAGGGGACCTGCAGGGTGCGGACTCTCCAACCAGGCACATGGGAGAATGTGGTGGGGTTCCTGGTACCATCCATCCCCATTAGACCCATCTCTTACTTCAACACCTTCCTGTGTTCACGCTGGGACTTTGACATGGTCCCGTATTCCCTGGACAAGCTCTTCGGGGGGTGAGTGTCCCTGACATGGCACAATGAACTCACCGTCACATGCTATGTTTACGAATATCATTGCAGGGCCGAGGGAGATAGCTCAGTAGAATAAGTGCTGAGTTGACAAGCACAGGGTTCTGAGTTCAATCCCCAGTACCGTAAAAAATAAAAGTGAAACTGTCATTGCATCTCTCTGCGCCTCAGTATAACCCTCTGAAATGCAGGGTGGTAAGGAATAACCTTCTCAGTGGTATGTTAGGGATGAAGTGTTATGCGATGTGGCGAGTCAGCACACACCGCCTTGGTGTATAGAAAGGAAGCTGTGCAGGGTATCCAGATTCATAATTGTTTTATGTTTTCCATTGACAAACTTCCCTGCTTCGGTAGCCCACATCCATCCATGTTTTGGAAAATATGTGTAAAAAAAAGGAAAGACATGATTTCCATTGTACACAGGACATTCATGAATAAGTCTAGCTGTTGTTTTCCCTTGATATTTAATAAACAGGAACCACTGTGTCTTGGAAGGGTAGGACCAAGCCCAAGGAGATATTGTGAATTTATTTATAGGTATCATTTCCTTAACTTGCGTCTATATACTCCTTACCTTTTCCATAAAATTTTATAGAAATCTAGCATAGTTCTAGAAGCAATGAAAACTAAAATTACTGGACTCCAATTCCATCTGTGGAAGCAGAGAGTCACCGTGGACATCACAAGACACCACTCAGGGCCAGTTATACAGTAGTGGGTTCAGAGCAGAGGGAGAGAGAGAAATGAGTGATGAGCATGAGTATTCGGGCTGAGGAGAGAATGGGAGAAGGCCGAAGCGCACACACTTAAAGTTAAATGGAAGACGGGGTCTCCCGGCCTCTCCCGTGAGAGGTACGAGTCACACAGAACTATGGTTGCGATTTCAGATCCGGGCAAGGAGCAGGGTAGGATGGGGCCCAGAGCCAGGAGCCCAAGGCTCCTCTTCAGCACGGCGGCTCTCAGCTCTGCCCATCCTCTGTGCCAACCCATCTGTCCCCACTCACAGCAACAGGATGTCCAGACTGGAGCTGCGATGAGCAGACTGCACTCAGGTCTGCCTGGAGCCCAAACCCGAGTGCTCAAGAGCATGGAGTTTGGTGCCTGCCTCTCACAGAAGGGACTGTCAATCCTAAGTGGAGACCCATGGGTTAGAATTAGCCTTCCTGGACCAAGTCAGCCAATTCCATGACAGTCACAGAGGGCTAGGGGTGGGGTCGGGTTGTCCTCTGGACAGACAGACAGACAGACAGACAGGACCAGGCAACACACAGGTGTCTTGGAGAGGTGGGAGAAAGAAGACCCCGCTCCTCTGACTGCCGCTCACTCATCTCCCAGCACCATCTCTTCCGTTGTGGAAGCCCAGCCTCAATGGCACCACCTGCCGTACGTCCCCAAATTCACGATCAAGGAGACTTGTGTGCCAGAGAACTCAACTAGAGCAGACCGGGAGCCTCCCTTGCACCTTCTCATTGCTCACGTGGAACGTCTAGAGCCTACCAAGGAAGAGACAGGTGAGGGGACCACTGCAGCCTGGGAGACTTTCATGGGTTTCAGTTTGTCAATGAAATTCCCAAAATTGCATGATAGCTTTTCTGGGCCTGAAGGGTCACTGTCCATTGACAAGTCGAATGTGAGTCATACTCTGAGCTGTCTTCCTTTCAGCTCCTGCTCCATATCGAGAAGAAAATGAGCCTTCTATGCAGCCAGTGCCAGCACCTGAGAAAAAGCCTCTAATGGAGATAGGAGAGGAGCAGAAGCCAGCTGCAGAGCACTCTTTGCTCTCTTCTGTGAATGAGAAGATCAGGTCTGCGCAGAAGTTTCTGTTAGCCTTCCCTCCCGTGTTGCTGGCGCAGCAGCTGAACATGACGGACCCGGTGAGCACTGGTCAGTGTGGGGCAGGAGGGGCGGCCCATCCTTCTGAGACAGAAAACAGCAGGTCCACACAGGAGGTGCTCTTAGCCTTCCTTCACGGGCTGCTGGCGCAGCAGATGACCCTGCTGGATGCAGTGGGGACTGAGACTGTGGGGCTGGTGGGGCATGCCGTCCTTCCATCACCTCTGCTCTCTGTCCCACCACTCCCAGATGACATGGAACTGGGACAGATGAAAGTTCCATATTGTGCATAACGCACGGCCTACATCTGTCTCTTGGCACGTGAGCCAACCCTGTGCTCATGTGGGTGTAGACAATGGAGATGGGGCACGGATGACACCAGCTTTCCATGGTGACTAAGAGGTCCACCTAAGATTGAGTCAATGGAATACAGCACAGAGAGTTGGCTTAGATGATAAAGGAAGGTGTTCAGAGAGCTGTAGGCAGGACTACGTGTCACTAGCCATCTTCCTAGGAAGATTTGAAATACACAACATTTTTCAGCAGATATGACAACAGGTCTCCTAGTTCTAGTTGACGCCGGACATTTGCCATTGCAGTGGATAAAGAGCAGAGGTTGAAAGTAAAATCTCCAAATTTGCAGCACGTAAAAGTCTTCTTTCTGGAAACTGGTGAGGATAGCTGGGGAGAAAAAAACCTTGCTTTTCACATGTAGGTACTGGTCATTCCTGATTTGCCCATCATCAGTGGGCAGAACAAAAAACCCAGGTCTCTGTCCACATCTGCAGCTTCTTATCTCCAGCTCAGAGAACGGCCGCTGCCTACCATGAGGTGAAGCTGTACGCTGTACCTGGGATGGGCTCTGCCCTGGTGACATTCATTGCCTTCCTCCACAGGACCTGTTCCAGAACGTGGTGCCCTGGAACTGCATGGCCTCCATCAGGATCCAGAGGAAACAAAAGGGCACCGAACAACTGGCGCCCACCGTTCGGGAAACCTATCCACAGTTCGACGATGTGGTCAATTTCGTGTTCACCACCTGCATTGGGGATCACAGCATGAAGGCTGAAGACAGGGCCAGGGTGGTGGAGCACTGGATCAAGGTAGCCAAGGTAACCTGGAGACCTCCAACCTGCCTGCAATGCATCAGCTCTCAGAACTGCAGGCTCAGGTGTCGCACCAACCTCCGGCCTTCCTATCGTGGGCTCCCTGACCCGGACTCACAGGTCACGTGGGGTGGTGGGTGCAGTCATCTCAGCCGAGTGCTTCCTTGAGTCTAGGAAAGCCCTTCTACCTGGTAGTGCGTTCAAGGGACACGGTGAGACCATCCCAAGGCTCCCTGGGCATCATCTCATCGAGGAGAGATAAGGCAGCTGAAATAGAACAGCTGATCTCCAGCTGCCCCTCTCCCAGATAAAATGTTTTCCTCCTTTCACTCACTAGGCATGCCTAAAGCTCAGGAACTTCTCCTCGATGCACGCCATCATCTCTGCTCTGCAGAGCACCCCAGTACATTGGATGAGCATGACGTGGAAAGAAGTATCCAGGTGGGCCTGCCTTTCCCCATGAGGACGCCAGGGGAGATGACTGCCAGGTCGATGACCATAGATCTTCCCTCTGCCCCTGCTTGGAAAAGGGCTGGAAAGCCAGGGAAGCCAAGGACGCCAAGGGCAGGAGCCACTTTGTAGGTGGGATCCCCCAGACTCTCTACCGTCTCACGCTAGGGTTTCTGACTCTGGACTGTTGCTCAGAGCCAGGCACAGCTGTTCCCCAAATGTCTTTCTTCGGGTTATCATGAAACAGGATTGGAATCGATTGTCCAGAGGAAACCCTAACTGTAAAAACCGACAAAACACGAAATATTTAAATATGGAAGGCACTAGATGATCGAAGGAAAGCTTCCATCCAGCTCCTTTGGCTTGCACAGATGTGATATGAACCCAGCAGAAATGCTCACCCAGGCAGTTTATTTCCTTTTTATTTTTTTATTTTTTTTCCTCGCATGCCTTCAGGGCACTTTTGGCCAGTGGGAGAGTGGTGAGGTTCCAACTCCAGCCACCTGAGGCCGACAGCTTTGTGGAAGCAGCCACTTAAAGGACTGAGCTACCGCCAGGCCCCCAGTTTATTTCCTTTGGACTCGCAAATTAAAGGAATTTGAAGCCACGCACATCCCATTGTGATGCAATTCCTCCCGTTTTCCTTCTCAAACAGGACAAGTTTAAAAACATTCCATAAGTTGTGTGCCAAGGCCACTGCAGAAAACAGGAATTTGCTCATGAAGGTAAACGGAGGGTGAGACATGGGGTTAAAATGTCGGGAAGACGGAGAGAGGGCAAAGTGGGAAGAGGTTCAGGACAAGATGTGGTGTGTGTGGTCGGTTGGCTGCTTGTTTGGTTGGTTGGTTGGTTGTCTTTCCTCTCATCCCGTTTGAGAAAATCACGTAGATTTCCGGCAATCTCCAGTGGGTACCGCTAATTGTTTTTGGTCAAACTGGAGGCTCGGGACACGTGAGGACATGGTTAAGGAAGCCGCGGGCTCTCCAGGAAGGGCTGAGGAGGTGGTGGACCTGGCACGCCAAAGGGGTGGCCGTATGGGACACTCGTGCAGAAAAGCCGCTTCCCGCACGCTGTCTTGTGGATGTGCAGTGAGGCTTCCTTGCTCCCGCAACTTAGCCCCCAGATTGCGGGAAAGCAGGACCTGTTGCTCTATGGTGTCACCGAAGCTCGAACAGAGGGCGCTGTGTCTATGACGGAGGCCATGACAGAGAAATCCTGCCGGGACGGGAGGCCGAGGGGAGAGCTTAGCGATGTCCCAGCGGGCAACCCTGGGATTGATCTGTGGCTGCGCTGCCCTTCCCCAAGCTGCCCTTTGCCCGCACCGGTCGGGCCTCAGATTCCTACTACCCGGGAGGGTTGGCGGCGGCACCCTCCTCTCCAGATAGCTGTGAGAACTGTTTTAAGGCCTGCCGTTTCCGGTGGGGGATCCTAATAGATCAAATCTCAGAACCCACTTCCGGGTTATTCAGTTTCCATGCCCTTCAGAGCTCACATCTTGGGAGGTGACTGTCCAAGTGGCCAAGCAGAGGCTCTGTCAAAAGAACTTCCTTGGGGGATTCCTAGGAGGTGAGGTTGAGCAGGGGCTCCAGGCTGGCTGCCGGGCTAGAGATTCCCGGGAGCTTCCAAAACTTGCTCTTTCGCAGTCTGGCCTCTTCTGCTGTGGACGGGCTCGGCAGGGTCCCGGACACACGGCGAGGTCTCGGGGGTGGAACAGTGGTCCGGGGTGCTGATGGAGAGCGGGGTAAAATAGGCTGAGATTTTACCTCCAGCGGTCAGGAGCAGCTGGCCTCTCTGTGTTAGGCCCTGGGAAGGTCCCAAACCTCTATAACCTCCGACTCCTGATCCAGAGAAGAAAGTAGAGAGCTTAGTGCAGGCGGCACAGTGGGCAAGAAGCAAAAGCCGAGCCCTTTGTTCCTGATTCTTCCTCAGAGGTGGGGAGATGAGAAAAAGGATAATGACATAAAACTGAGGACTTGGGAGAGGCAGTGAAGCACGTGTACGTCGAGATGGGGAAGCAAGTGCGGGGTCGCCCGGCCATGTGTCCTGGATGACTTCAAAGGGAGCACGGGAGCTGGGTTTGAACCTACGGGCAGGTTCAGGTGGGAACCGCTGTGCCAGCTGATAGGGGCTGAGCTCAGAGATACAGTGCTGTGATTTGGGAAAACTAACTGTCCCTGCCTGACCCTGGCAGAAGGTGCTCCCCAAGAAGGCGACCCTGGAGAGCAACCCTCAGAGAGCCCAGATGAGGCAGCAGCAGAAGAAAGAGGTGAGTATGCGGTGGTAGGGAAGGCTCCAGGAGTCAGTGGTCAAGGGAGCCCCTAGCTTCCGGGTGGGCATCTCACGGTGACAGAGCAGGGGTGCTGTTTATTCAGCCGTTCCCTCCTTCACCATGCGTTAAGGATGCCTCCACTCGAGAGGCCAGAGGAAGACCCCAGAGGACCTGCACTCAGAGCAGAGACAGGGCAGAGGTGGGATGGGCACCTCAGCATGCCATGTGCACTAGTTATCAAAACCCCAGAGGAGCTGCACTCAGAGCAGAGAGAAGGAATAGGTGGAAAGGGGACCCCAGCATGGCACATACAGTAAGTATTGCCATGGAAGCCAGGCATGGTGGCACATGCCTGTAATCACAGCACTCTAGGGGGCTGAGTCACAAGGATTCTACATCCAAGCCCAGTTGGGCAACTTAGTGACTTATCAATACCCTGGTCTAGGATGAATAGTGCAAAACGTTGTGGAATCAATCTCTGCGCAAAGGCTCTAGTTTTTGAATCGAAAAAGGAAAAAAAAAAAAAAAAAAAAAAAAAGCTAGGGTTAAGGTGCTCCAGAAGGGACAGGAGACAGGTGAGAGATTACAGGGAAACTTACAGGCCTTGAGTGGGAGCTAGGAGTGGGCACCTAGGGTCAGTATGCCCCATGGCACAGGGTGCCGTCCCCTTCCTTGGCTCATTCCTCACTGAAGTGGAGACGCTGGACGCTGCGATAAAGGATCATGCGGATGTGAGTGATCCTCATGGCAGCAGGTTTGGGGCCAGGATCCTGGGTTACGGAGGAGAAGTCCCCTGTCTTGAACATTCAGGTCCCAGAATTTGGCCAACCCACTCCTAAGAGATCCTCAACCGTGCCCTGTGTGCTGCAGGCACTAGGTCCATCTCGCCTAGGAGTGAGGGTCCCCCACAATGACCCCGAGTCCCTCTTCTCCCAGTCCTGAAGCTCATAGCTGCCTGGCTGCAAAGCTGCATGGGGCCTCGTCCGAGCTCAACTCAGTCCCCCCTCGGTTGGTCTCCAAAGGAGGGGAGAGAACTTGGGACTCCCCAAGGCCAGGTCGTACCTACAGGTGCAGTGCTGCCTTCCTTTCGGGTCCTCGGTTTTTTCTGTCTTAATACATCGGGCATCCTCAGCCTTATGTCCCATGTACATCCTTTCCGGAGCCCAAACCTGACCTGGGTCCTCATCCTCATCCATTCCCACGTACTCCTGACTCCAGTGGTCGCTGACACGATTCCAATATGACCAAAGGTTGATGGAGGACTACTTAAGGTTCAGTATTTCCTATGGATTTTTCTGTTTCTTTTGCAGGGGAATCTTGTCAAGTATGAAAAAATAAAGAAGGTAAGCAGCCGTGTCCTGCAGTTCCAGGAGGGAAGGGAGGCAGAATTCAGGAACTGCTCCATGGGATGAATACTCCTTGGCCCCACTTTCTGCATCTTTGCTTTATTCGGAGGGTTTTTTTACACAGAGAGAGGTGAAAACCATCCCGAGGGAATGCGTGCATAAGAGACTACACGCCGGTGCGGCTACCGGGACCTGGGGATGTTTCAGCCTAACTCAGCACAGCTTGGGGCCCGCGTGGGGTGGAGAAGAGGAAGGGGCAATTAGCTGTCAAGTCTGCCGACCACTCCTTAGGTCTTCCTTCTCTGACCAAGGCTGCCATTTCATGCCCAACGCAAGCCTTCTCAGTACCCTGCCTGTTCCTCTTGCCCCAGGAAACCAAAGTCCTTCAAGAGATACAGTTGTTCCAGCTGGCAGCGAGTAAATACAATTTTCAATATGAGTAAAATTTTGAGGTCTGGTTCCACTCAACAGAGTGGCTCAATGAGAAGGAAAGGTGAGGACCGGGCAGGAGTTGTGGGAAAGCCCAGGGCTGGGGAGGCTCTCCCAAGAGAACCTATAGCCATGGCTCCACTGTCATCCACAGACTACTGTCTGGTGACTGTGGAGCACCAGGACTCTGAAAGCTAGGCAGGCAAGGGTAGAAAGACTAGAGGTGAGGCTCCACAGGGACTCATGGGCACCTCTCTGTCCTGCAGCTATAACCTGTCCTGTCTTCTGCAGCCTCTAATCAAACAGGCTGGCAACTCACTCCGAAACAAGAACAACAGGTGACCGTAAATCTCAGTGGTGCTTGATCGACCGCCCAGGACAGTGGAAGCCGACAGCCTCAGTACTACTCCATGACATCGGGACACACAGAGCCGGCACTCGTTTCCTGTAGAGATTTAGATTTCACAAAAAAAAAGTCTGATGTCCCAAAAGAGCAGGGAACACTAGACTGAGCCCGAGTAGGGTTGCTGTCTGTTTGCAAATTCACGGAAAGATGAGACCCGAGGCAGCAGATGACATCCTCTCCTGCAGGTGCTGTGTCCTTTGATCCCTTCCTTGGGATGCTATCGGCTACCGTTCACGTGAACCCTAGTGTTAGGCAAATGGTGGAAGTGGACAGAGATAGCAGTTTGTATTCACTTAGGTAAGGATGCACACTCCTTAGTCTGCCTTTACCCTTCAATAAATGTGAGATGCTTCTGAGGCTCTGGGGTCACTTGGAGAGAGACTAATCTCAGTGAGACCTCTAAAGCTACATTCATCAGGTGTTCTCGTCGTTTCTCTTGGCACCGACCAGTAACATACCACGAGTGTCGCGCAACCGGGAGCATGGAAGAAGACCGGGGGAGAGTTCAGAGAGGCCTGACCGCATGAGAAACGTACTCCCGGATTAGGCGAGACAAACGGAAAAACCTCAGAGTCATGGGCAAATCAGCTTAGGTAGAGAATGACTATGCTCCTCTTATCTGGACGTTAATCAAAGAAAGGGGGGGGGTGTAAAGGTGAAACCAAAGAGTTTCAAGGAATTATTTCCCCTTATAAACAGCCATCGTTACTGGTTTCAGCCTAAGGGAAAGGCGGCTTTAAACTTCATAGTTTGGAAACCAGATATGAGAAGGCTGGGTCGGGCTCATCCAAACGAGGAACCAATTCCTCTTCATGTGTGGGCTCTTTGTAGTTTAATTTCCTTAACCTTGACGCCATTTTAGTCGGACTCAGAACAGTCCAAGAAATATTTAAAAAAGGTCAGCCTCAGATGCTGATATTCCTAAGGCTCAAGAGCAGGTTCCAGGTAAATATGAATCTGCACAGGAGACCTTTTAAAGATCTCTGCCTTCCTCACATTTGAATGCAGAGGCCAGCAAAGCGAAAAGGACAAAAACAGAGCAGGGCACCTCTGTGGTGCATAACTACGATGAGGTTGCACCCCCTCAAGATCCCCTATACAAGATGGCGCCACACAGCATAGCAAGAGTTTTGGTATTGTAATATTTCTCCATATGCTACATTGGGCACAAGTCTGACAAAAGGGCTCCTAAAAGGACATTTATTGCATCTCAGACAATTTCCTCACAATCTGAGGATTTTGAGTATGTGGAATGCAAGGAAACTGAGACTGAGATAAGTGAGTTGTGAGCCAAAGGAAAAGGCAGTTATCACAATTGATTTGTAAATTGATTGAAACAATAGAGATCTCTACCCCTGTACTTCTTCCATCTCATTT